GTGGAGAATTTCTTCTTAATGTCCAGCCTAAACCTGCCCTGTTGCAACTTGCAACCATTCCCCCTGGTTCTGTCCCTAATTACCTGTGAGAAGAGACCAGCACCAACCTCTCTACAATGTGTTTTCAAGTAATTGTAGAGAATGATGAGTTCCCCCCTCAGCCTCTTCGTCAAACTGAACAGACCCAGCTCCCGCAAGTGCTCCTCATAAGGTTTGTACTCCAGGCCCTTCACCAGCTTTGTTGCCCTTTTTTTTTTTTTTTTTTGTTATCTTCTACACTGTCTGCTGAAAGTTCAGGTTGCAACTTTTTTTTTCCATTACTGTGGTGATTTGTAGTTAGATGCACAAAGGGAGTTTGCATTGCCGTGCCCAACCAAACAGTACTCCAGTCCTCTGGTAGGAGCGCGGCTGTGGGACGTGCACTAACAAGGTAAGCGTGCATCTGTCTGCATTGCCGGTGAAGAAATGCCTTGCACAGAGGGGTGGGGACGAATATGCCTTATATACTAATTCTGTATAGAAACCCCATAATCCAATTAAGATTCTCAAGTATATGACCTTTCAGAATTTAGGAGCCTGAAGCCAGCTTGATCCTTTCTTCACACTGGTAAGTGATTGTGTGATGAGACTGTACTCATGAGAGATGGATTGTAAAATCCCATTGTGAGGTTAAGAATGTCACCTGAATCTCTCACATAGCACCAGGCCACTACCGTGTTGTAACAGTGTTTCTCATACAAATGCCTTTTCTGACTTTGTAAATTTTCGCTGGCACAGTGAGCAGGAGAATGACTGAGCTTTCTGATGTTTTTGGGAAAGTGTAAACAGGAAGTGGTCAGGTAAGCAGTTTGAAACTCCATGATAATGAACATTTAGGTTTTTATTAGAAGAACACCACCAGGGAACTTTAACGCACCAGGGAACTCAATACTTTATAGCTTTAAAGCATATTCCTGTGAGAGGAAGAAGTGGATTATTTCCACAGGAAGTGGAAGACAGAGAAGCCCTTTTAAACTTGGTTCTCCCCCACTAGTCACAGGGCTATTTGGTAAATGCCACACCCTTTCCCTCCCCCTCAATTTCTGTGCTAGTTCCAAGTCACAAGGCAAGCTCGAATAACACCTACCAGCTTAGTGCCTAAACTTGATTTGAATACAAGGGTAGTCAAATTATGAAAGCTGCCGAAAGACTTGGTTAACAGGCTGATTAAAGTTGGAAGATGCTGTTCCCAAAACATGAAAAATATTTGGTTCAAGTAGCGAGAAAATTAAATGGGAAGACTCAGTAGGAGAGTTTTAACTACATTTATCGTCGTAAGCTGTAGAAAGCCACAACTAAATGTTAGGCAGAGTTTCAGTCCAGCCTGCAAATGGATATGAAGTTTTTGCCACTTGTGGACCCTCTGGAGGACTTGGCTAGAAGCTAGACAGATGTAGACAAATGTCGAAAGCGAGTAAGATACGTGTGCTTATGTGATAGGGAAGGTGCCTGAAGAAGCAGCGTGGAAAAGTTGAACACAGAATAGAAGAAACTGAGAACAAGGGTGGTTGACATAAGCATTGCCCAAAACGTCTGCTGCACATATGGTGCTCTGCTGTGTGATCTGTTAATTTGCTTCTGAGCTCTCGTTAATGCTTCAAACGAGAATGTTTCCCCATGGGCCTAAGTCTACAACTACTACGAGTTTAGGGTGTTTTTTCAGCATATGTTCTAGGCCGTGTGTGAACTCGTGACTGTACATATAACACAGTTTGTAATGCAGGTTAGGAAATACCAACTGATCTTGCTGGGGCGCGAGGGGGAGATGATGTGTTTACACAGGCAGGCATGAACACACACACGCACATGTGTAAGCAGGGAATGGTTGTTCAGAAGACAAAGATTTAAAAGGGTTTAAAACATGTTAAAAAGGGTTTATAAAATAGTCAGGGCATGCTGCTATCTCTCGATTCCTCAAAGTGCTATGTTTCTGTCATTGGAGAAAAAAAAATTCTTGAGCCCCTCTTCTGACTGGGGATGGGGCGGGGAAGGGTCTTCTGTATTTTCAGAAATGCATCGTGCTGCATTTATAACCTTGGAGACACTTCTGATTTTTGATTTAGTACTGTTCAGTAATCTTTCTTTTCCAATGCAAGGACTCTTGAGAAGACACTTTGCCAGTGCTTTATGCAGACCTAGCATTCTGCGTGCTGGGTTTCCTTTCATTTCCTTCAGACCCAGCATAGCTTCCAAAACCTGACGGGCAGAGGAAGAATCTCTGCAACTGTGATTCTAAAACAATAAATGTCTGCCAAATGAAGCATCAAGGAAAGAAACTATAGAAGTCTCCCTCCTGGCTCCCGTCCTTCCAGTTCTGTTCTACATAGCTATACCATGTCCAACATTTTTGCTAATTGACCTATTTTTATTTTAAATTTGTGTAAGGTACACTGCTAAGTCAGCTCCAGTGTGTGGAGGTTCTGTTGCACAGGCTCAACATAAGAACACAGCACCAGCTAAAACAAGGTGAGCTGTTTTGTTTGTGAAATGAAATGCTCCCCCTCACCCCCCAGCCGAACCCTCAAGCCATCAGCTCATCAGAACTATTGATCAGAAAGTAATAACACAGCATATCCGCTCAGAATACATTACTGCATCATGCAGGATGGTCCACTTGCCAGCTGTAATGTTGACAATTTGCTTTATTTGCTTACAAAACTGCCAGCTCAACCACAGATTTCTTCCTGCTGGCCATTACAGTGCTGCACTAGGCTGTCAGAGTACTAGGTTATGCATCAGCCTAGAATAAATTAAAACAAGCAAACAGAATTAAGTCCAGTTATGAATAAAACCTGCCTCCGTGGCTTGCTTAAAACAGGCACACTTAGTCTAGCAAGCAGGGTGTGCTTGTAAACATCTGCCAAACCTCTTGGTGGCATGAAGCAGATGTTTAGGTTCTTGGATAGCGTGATGGTTGGAACCCAGCCCTGTGACACCTGGCTCGCCGGCGGTTTCAGACAACCTGTTTCAGAGGGGCAGGAATGGCTGCGCAGGACCCAGGCCAAGCACATACACCTCTGCTGCTCCCACGCGGTTCCTTCTTTCTCCCAGCCATTCCCACACCCCACCGCCGGGGTAGTCTCTCCTCTTCCCGCCCCCCCCCCTTGGAAGAACAGTAGTTTAAGACCTGCTGATTTCACAGTTAAAGCTTCTAGTGCTACACAGAGCTTGTTCACACCATACCAGCTTTACCAGCGCAAGCAGGGTTCAAATGCTTGTTTTACAGGCTCCACAGCAGCACTGCTGTGCTCCCTTCCGTGGGCCACGTGTGACAAGAAAAAGCATTCCCAGGCTGCTGCTTTTACTGCGCTAAGAAGGTGCCAAGAGCTCTGCAGCAGCACTGCTCAGGCTACAGCTGCAGAAAAGGGCAGCAGCTGCTGCAGCAGGGGCACTAAGCAGGCAATGAAGTAAATTGTGTTTGGAAAACGGGCCATGGGGAGGTAAATTTTCAAAGCTGAGTTAAGCTTTATGTATTTGTTCTAACAAGATGGAATGGCTCACCTTTCACTTCTTCAGTCTAGTAAACAGCTGCACAGTAGGGAAAATCACGGACTTCATTCTACCAGCACATGATTTCAGACAACCCTCTCTATTAAAACAGAAATTTCATTTTTCCCCAACCTTTGGCTCACAGGAGATTGTTAAGCTTTATCATACTGTATAAAATTAGTAATTGTTAATACACAGTGTGGTTATAGCAACAGCTAGATCTACATTCACATTTTCCTAGTACCGCTAGATTCCTTTCTGCATTGAGAATACAGCCTCTGGAAACTCAGACAAATGTAACACCTTTTCTGTTAGTGACGAAGTCGCTGACATTGCTGTTTTTTAGCACACCAGAATGTTGTTCTAGTACAAGACTTTTATTCCCAATATTAAAATCAGGACATGAATGGCTAATGAAGATACAAGAAGCAGAGTGTAATGGCAGCTTTTAGACGTTGCCTCCCCGACCTCCACCCCCCAAAAAAAAAAAAAAAAGAAGCAGCATTTTCAGTCTTTAAAACACAGCATGAAAAATTGAATTGCATCCTTTTTATTTAAAATGCAGGATTATTCCCTGAGTAAGCAGCTTTTTACTTAAATAAAACTTTTCCAGAACTTAAAATAAACCTGTGGAACAAGTTCACACAGCTGACGGTGAGCTGGAGACAGCATGTTCTTTGGCCCAGGGAAGCAGAGGCCTGGCAGGAGCTCTGAACTATTCATTTCCGAAGTTTCACACTGCACGATCAGCAGCCTCCTTCAGTACAGCCGTGTCTCCCACATCTACATCTCCTCTCCGACTGAGCTCTGGGCTTTGAATTATTCTTTGACTACTCTGCCATGAAAGGGATTTTTCATATTTGGTCTTAAAAAGTAATCCATGACCTGAAGAAGCAAGGATGGGGGGAAGAAAATAAACAAAACAAAAAAATAAAACTGAAATGAGATGATCACACTGGTAAACAGAACAGGTCATTCCTTAAAAAGAATGGATCCTCATAATCTGGAAACTGTGCATCCCAAGGCTTTGGAAGCAGAAGAAACACCACACATAGAACTAAGAGCAGGCTTTTACACAGAACCACACAGAATCACAGAATGTTTGGGGATGGAAGGGACCTCAAAAGATCATCTAGTCCAGCCCCCTGCCAGAGCAGGATCACCCAGAGCAGGTCACACAGGGACATGTCCAGGCAGGGTTTGAATGTCTCCAGAGAAGGAGACTCCAAAATCTCCCTGGGCAGCCTGTGCCAGGGCTCTGTCACCCTCACAGGGAAAAAGTTTTTCCTAATATTTTTGTGGAACCTCCTATGTTCCAGCTTGTACCCATTGCCCCCTTGTCCTGTCACTGGACGTCGCTGAAAAGAGCCTGACTTCGTCCTCCTGACACTCCCCCTTGACGTATTTATAAACATCAATGAGGTCACCCCTCAGCCTGCTCTCCTCCAAGCTGAAGAGACCCAGCTCCTTCAGCCTTTCCTTATAAGGGAGCTGTTCCACTCCCTAAAAGAGTACTATAAACTTTTAGATAGCTATGGATGTAGATCGTAACACACACCCACATCTCATAAACCAAAGCTTTAAAAGTAATTACAAGATCTGTGGGAGACGAGACATTTGCTGAATGACTTGTAAGGACCCCTGCACTTACCTGGACAGTCTGCTGTCTCTTTGAATGCTCTTTTCTTACAGCATCCTCGGCACATGTTAAATACACATTTATTGCCCTAGATTGGGATGGGGGTGCAAAGAAGCTTGTATCAACGAAAATACAATTATTGTTTGCTATAATAAGCAACGACAGACATTCAGCGTGTTCATTCTGCACTTTCAGAGCTCTGGGGAAAACCCATGAACTCATCTATCAGGCAGGCCCAGCTCAGACCAATGAGGATGACAGAGGTGATGTCATATGAGGGGAGCTGCAGCTATCAACTCTTTGTACACAGAGAACAAAACAAAGACACAAACAAATTCCACATCCGGCATCTGAAACATCAGTAATCTGCTGGGAAGCTGAGTTACACACCACAAGCAGGCAAGTGTCCCAAGTGCTTTGGAACAAGCACATTAGGACATTTGCTGCAGGTGAGCTTGCTGTAGTTCTCGGTGTGAAACACGGTGCCTGGTGTGCTTGTTACCATCTGTAACTATGCTTAAAACTGTTACTGCAGCAATTCCCTACTTGCAGCCTACAATATACCTGAGTATCTAGTAAAATACATGTATGACTCTTAGGGGTCAGCAGCAGCTGAGTCCTGGCTACTTGACAACTTGGCTGGGTGTCTGTGGTGCTTGTCCGGGTCCCTCTGGATCACATCTCGTCCCTTGGGAGTGCTGACCACACCACCCAGCTCAGTGTTGTCTGCAAACTTGCTGAGGGTTCACTCAACCCCACTGTCTGTGTCACTGATGAAGGTACTGGACAGGACTGGTCCCGCTATGGACCCCTGAGGGAGACCACTTGACACCCATCTCGACCTGGACGTTGAGCCACTGACCACTACACGGGCATTTCACCTCCATTTAATGGAAACGCTTTAGAGGACACTGGCACTGACTTACCTTAGGGTTTCCACATTGATCACATTTCGCATATTTGGCTGGAAAAGAGAAAGATTCATAATTTCAGCGATAGTATTCTTATGTGAAGTAAGTAAATTATTTTTTAAAAAAATAAGTTAAACTTTTTGGAATAAAAATACTGTACCTCAAAAAAGAGTGCAAAGGTAAAGATACTTTTGACTTTTAAGTGCCTCTAAGCTAAAGGGAAATATAAAAAATTTTAATCCTCAAGTGCAAAATAGGAGGACACCTACTTGAAATGCGTACAAAATTTCCATTTCAAATACTAGCGACAGCTAGAATTCAGTTTGTAAAGCATTTTGATCTCAAAAAAATGCTCACATTGGATCAGTGAACTACCTCTTTGATCCTTGTTTTCTTTACTAACGAACATAATTTGAATCACATTGCCTACTACTGAAATTTCCCCGATATCTTTTTAAAGAGGTTTCTACAACTACATAAAGAAAACAAACAGTGGCAATTTATGCCAAATGTAGTATAAGTAACCTTCCATGCATTTATGCCAATAAATGGAACTTACGTTTTAAAGATGGATCAAAGCTTTTATTTGGATTTCTTAACTTCTTTTTTTGTTTATTCTTTGACAGAAACTCAGAATTTCCATCTTCTTCCTCTTCCAGAGCACGTTTTCCTCGCACGCCTTTTTCGGTTCCACTGGCTCCATTCTCCTTGCATCTCTCCTTTGGCCTGAAACAGTGAATATCATCGTGAGATGGCTGAAGGGAAGAAGCAGGTGTTCCCTGGCCACTCTTCCGGTTTACAGAAATCTGGATAAACTGTAAACCTTTCTGTCATGGCTGAATTAGAAGGAAGTCACTGACCTTAGAAACTGAACAGAAAAATCCCAACTTTTTTTTGCTTGTTAACATTGCCGGTCGATAGCAGATAGGCTGTCAGATACTTTGGTTGGAAAGTCAGTTAAAGTTGGCCAGTTAAATTAGTTAGGCACCTGTTAACTTAAGTATTAAGCTGACACACTCATTCTCTTTTTCAGACCAATTTTTGCAACAGCTATCTGAGAAGCTTGTCCATATGACACAAGCATCCTTTGTAGAATACAGTTTAGTTCCCATCCTTGCGACCCTGGCAGTTGCCAGCAACATTTCTTACGTATAACAATAAAGTACCGTCAGGTAGCGTGTTTGTTTCACATCAGGTTGTCTTTCTGAGCTGTAGTGGAATTCTTGGGTTTTGCTTTCTAGAGACAGAAATGTGAGGAGGAACTAAAGGAGAAGATGCATGCAATAAGCAACATCCTCATGAACAAAGCAAAAACCAGGGAAAAAACCCAACCAGAATAAAAATAATCCAGTCTTTAAATGGCTGTAAGCTCCTAGAACAGAACTGGATGGCTCTGTACTGACAGCGCGGGTGGGAAAGGCCTATGGGTACCTGTCTGTGCCAGAATAGGTAACTCACCCTGGCCTGATGTACGGCTGACAGATCCAGTGGAAAAAAGGCAACCCCTCTTTTGGCTTTTCTCCTTCTTTCTGATTAGCTATTTCTTCCTGCAGCGTAGAGTTACAGTCAGTTTTCCTGGAGTTCTCAGGAAATACTCCAAATAATACTTCAAAATCCACACCCCACAAATTGGAATTTAGACTAACAGTTACTGGCAGTTAACTATAGGCAAAACCCCTCCACTAACTGAAGCAGATTTTTAACTCCTAAATCAACTTTATCCCAATGTAAAGCTGTTCAGGCTTAAGGGGCTGCGACTGTACTCAAGGCTGGCGAGCCATGAAGTTCCAATGAAGGGACTAACGGCATCAACTACATGACAGACATGATAAGTTCCCACCAGCGGACAGTGCTGTTCTTGGAGATAAGGGCCCATCTTGGTACCTGACATCGTAGTTTCAGCTCCCTGTTGACATCTACAATGCCCTCTAGAGTCTTCACTTTTGCTAATTCTTCACGCAGCTGCTGGTAAACTTGAAGCCTGAGGCAAATCCCAAACATCAAGTCATATTTCTTCATTATTGCTAGACTGAGGAGATCAACTGCAAATGTCTTTATAAAAGCTTTTTATAGATTTTTCTTGCTGCACTTGCCTTTGGTAGGAGATTATCTTCTTTCTTGTTAGTCCAGAGAAAAGCACACATACCTGCTTCTCCTTGCCAAATAAATACTTGGCCCGCAGCCAAGGTGCTTTGAGGTAGGCTAACATGAACGTACAGAGCATCAGCTGCTCCCCCGCAACTGCCCATGGCCATGCTCTTACTCCACAATAAACGCAAGACAGCTTGCCTCACAATGAACAGGGAGTTAGTTCACTTTTGTTTGCCACAAAGCACACATGGGCAGTTACCACATGGTAGCTGATGTGCTGTGAGCTCATGCCCTAGCTTATCTTGTGGTAACTTGTTCATTCCCCATGCCCTGCTTCCCAAATATGCAGTGAAGGGTAAAGGCCTCAGCCCACATTCTCTCCAGCCAGGTCCAGGAAAGAAAACCTTGCAGCATACAAGTTCTGGCCAAACAACCTGATCTACTTGCCGATGTCCCTGCTCACTGCAGAGGGGCTGGACTAGATGACCTTTAAAGATCCCTTCAAACCCAACGCATTCTATGATTCTATGAAACAAATCCTTGTCCAGAAAGGCCAGACACTAAGCAGGATGAGCCCTGAAAACATTAAGAGTTCTCTGGAGATACTCACGTGTGATGCCAGAGCTTGAAGAGATGAGCCCTAACATAAGACAATGGACAAGGGTACTTCTGCACTATCTCCAGATACTCCTCAGCCATCTCCCACACCAATGGGTTTCGGCCCTCAAACAAAGCTGGGTTATGAAGATTACCTTCTAGGGAATGAAAAGAAATACTCAAACTTTCATTTCAGGATTGGAACAAAAAACAAAATCTAGCCTCTGGAGCTTGATCAGCTCTGTTGTGTTTCTACCAGTCTGTCACAGACACATCACCCACGTACTCGCAAAGAGGAACACAGGGTCCATAGAGCTCTAGCCTGACCTCAGGATACTGTATTTCACTACACAATTCTTAACTGAGATAAACAGCTCATCTTCAGCTAAAGTACATTTTCCAGAAAGGTATCTGATCTAGACAAAAAAGACAGTAAAAAAATTAACAGAGAAAACACTGCTTTTCTTGCCCAATGGTTAAACCCTTGGACAACAGGTGTCTTACTTTAGGTCTGTATTCACATTTGTCTGGCCTAAGTTTACAGATACTGCTTCTCAGGATGCTTTTCTCTGCGAGCTTCACAAGCCTTTTGTTAACCAGTATTTTCTAAAAATAAGAATCTACAACCCGACAGAAAATATGTTTCATTGCTTTAAGTGTGAGTGATGGGAAGCTTTTTCCAATGTCTATCCTGGCGCTTCTTGTACAAAGTTAGGCCAATTCTTTCTTGTCCCAATCTAGCATGAGCCATCTGCAGGAATACTAATCAGCAGATGCACTTACTGCATCAAGGTCCATTCAAAAACCATTCAGATTACCAGATGTCATGAAAATACTGCAGGACAACAGGAGCCCCATATGCCTTTGTCAGGTAATTAGATTTGAGATGTTCACTCAATGGTACTACAAGTCCAACATAATGATTCTTACAAATCTTAAGTGATCCCTGGTCATGGTAAGAGATGGCCAGTACAAAAGGTGAGAAAATGGCCACTCGCTTTTCGATGAAAGCTGTTCACCAAGTCAGTTTGATGTAAGCTTTTTAATACATGTATATGGGGCTATTAAGAGAGTAAGAAACAGTTCATATTCTCATCTATTATGAGTAAAAGTTCATTTTCTTTACCTGCACTCATGACACCATGCACTCCTGTCTTACGAATACACTCTTCTACATCTTTCAGACACTGGATGTTTCCATTTGCAAAGACAGGAATGCTTACAGCTTTTCTATACCAGTGAATAAAAGAGATGCACAAAACTGAGAATTAGACCAACCTAGAAATTCTACTCCTGTCACACAAATTTGTTTAGTCTTCAACGCCACGGCATGCTCTGCTTAAAATTTATCTTCACAGCGTGTTAGCAGAAGCCCACTAAGATCGGTACTGCTCACTCACCTGACAGCTTGAATGTGCTCCCAAGATGCCACACCAGCAAGCGGTCCTTTCTGTTCTTTAGTACGACCATGCACAGTCAGCAGCTAGAACACAAAGTTAATTTACTTTTCGTGTATATGAATCACTGGAACAAAGAACTGACAAAATTTTCCTTTCCCCCCATACTTCATGGATGCCACTGAACTCCCACTGCTATTTCAACAGTGCAGGGACTCTGGTACCACAGAAAGATCTCACCAACTCACATATCATGGTGTGGTCTTGGGCACCTTTCAGCTTGCTACTCCATGACATGACAAGACTATATCTAGGGAGAACTCACAGATTTCCTATTGTATTGGCTCCCATTTGTGATTCACTTTGGAATTTGTAATTTATTGATCTGGCTGGCTCCTCAGCAAAAGGCCTGAATACTCTCCATACTGGCTCTAACTACAGACCATCTCTTCCAGTTTAACTGGACTTAAAGCCTAGAAGGTTGCCTATTTCTTCACTAGTGGTGGTCATCTTTGATACTGCTTTTTTTTTTTTTTCTGTAGCCCTGTGGATTTCATGCATTCACAATGCCTCTTGCAGCACTATGTTAGACCGAGATGCTCAAACATGGTGAAGGATGTCACGCTGCGCAGTGATTACAAGAGAGACTCTGAAGTCATGATGTCTTCCATATCATACTATTGACTTGCTGCCTAGGACAGCAAATACATACAATTTCTCCGCATCCCATTCTCTTGGCATGTAGAACGATGCAGCCTATTCATCTCCATGGTACACCAAGCCCTGGTCATCAGATACTTTAGAGAGACGTGTGCTATGCAACAGTCCAGGGAGCAGCTGCCTCCTTACCTGGCAGCCAGCTTTCTCCAGCATCTGTGCATACTTCACTGTCTTGGCAATTTCGGGGAAAACGCGGATTTTGCATGTGATGGGGACAGAGAGCTTCTCGTTAGCCAGTAAAACTGGGGAAGATTGAAAAGACAGGTAAGTGGGCTGCACAATGCTATGAAAAGTGTCTGCTCTCCTCAAGATCTACTATTGGGTATGATATGGAAGAAGCCTTAAAAGTTCTCACAGCTTTAACAATCAGCAATGTCCTCTGCAATGCTTACTGCATAGGTTAATCAAGTAATAGTAAATGATGAAGCAAAAAATCTGCATTTTACCAAGAAAGCATAAAGTAGCCAGCATTTAATAGGCCTAAAGCTTCCACTGCATCAAATCTTCATCTTCAAGGACCACACCCCTCAAATCTTAACCATGGATACAAATTTACCACTGTCACAGGCCGCAGTATTCATCCTAGTCTTCCAACAGTAACAGTCACGTGTCCACTTTTCCTACAAGAGATGCTTCATTTCTTTCCAAATTATCACCCAAATAATTATGACAAATAGTCTTGCCCATGGCAAGCAGGGGCTTCTCAACTGAGGTAGGCTGTGGACCCACTTAAGCAGTGAATGGAGGTTACAGAGTCAGAAAAACCTGTTAAACTCCCATAGTCTTTACATAGTGCATGTAATCAAAAAACCACTACAAAGAGAGCTAAGGAAGACAGCCAGCAGGGAAACACTGAGCAATGGCATGCCTGAAATTCCAGAGCCTGGATGAATAATGTAGGAAGTCACTTGCTGTCTTCTAATCCAAATCCTAGCAGCTCTAACAAGCACTCCTTATCACCCTTCCCAAGCAGAAAGCAAGGTGTACACAGGTACAAGCAGAAAGCAGTACCTCAGCATTTTAAAGAAGGCTAGGGGAGAAGAAAGAGGAAGCTTTGCCCTCCTTTTATACAACACCCTAATACGCCAGCTCTCTTACTAGACAGCCTGGTTTCTCACCCAGCTAGATGACCTGCGTTCTCTTCTCACCCTGAGGCTGTTCTGACTTGCATCTTTCACCCCTAAATACCCGAACAACCACATTACAAGCTGGGCACAGATGCACTATCTTCCCAGGTTCTCAGCAGTGTCTCTGTGCCAAGCACCATTCAAGATCCCCAGAACCACAGGGAATGCAAACAGACTCCTTAACTGCATGGCTCAGACACTCGCTTTGAAGTGGAGTGAAGGCACATTGTCAACTCTTACCAGTGATCAAAACCTTGCTTATTAAATCAGTTTCGAATGTACTTCTTAAAAAAATGTGATACTGTCCACAACTGCTGATGATAGTCTAAAAACATTCTACACAAATCAGGAGAGGAGAGGCATAACTTGCTATGGTGCAGACAGAAAGAGAACGCTGAGTTGATTAGAAAAGGGCAACTGTGGCTTCAAGCAGAAACACAATTCCTGGCACCTCAGAACATAAAAGTGAAAAAGTAAGGCAGTGGGAGTTCTACTGTTTCTGCAGTTGGAGAGTCACTAAGCCACCATCACATTGGGATTTTATTGATTCGCTTTCACCTAAACTCTGTTTCAGGTACTGAAGTCTTTTAGCAGATCTAGTGTGGGTTTGTATTGGGATACCACCAACTATCTCAAGGGTACCACTGGAACAAAAAGAAAGAAAAAAAACCCCAAACAAACACAACCCTCCACAAAGAAATATGCTGCACCTCCTTTCCCCCCAAATCCCTAAACCTCCTCTCAGTGATGAGTTTATCCCATTCCCTCTCCAAGCAAAGCCTCTCTGAAGTGAGGCCTCCCTGAAGACTTACTCATTCTCTGAAGAAGATCCCACTCCTCCTGCAGAAATGCTCCATAGTGACCTGTAAGAAAACAGCATAACAGGTTTGCATAACGAGTAAGATTCTGAACTATACGGCTTTTATAAACGTTCACACACAAAGATCCAGACATTCATGTGCCTCACTGGCAGAAGCAGTGTTGCTCTGTCCTGCCCAAACTGGAAGACCTGGATCATTCCATTCCCTGTGCCACCCCAGACTTACAGGATAAACAACGAATTCCACACCCGACTGCCACTGCTACTCCCTAAGGTGGGTCTGTTGATATTGACAGCTCCAACTCCAACTTTCAGGGGTTTATATCAGGTGTTCAAAAATTCCCTTCAGGATAAAACCTGATCAGATTGAAAGATCTATTTGCCCATGATCATTTGACCACAGATCATTTCCTATTACTTTTTGAAAGGCATTTTAGAAGAGAAACGGGCAGTTACTGAACAAATCTTTCCTCAACATCCTAACTGTCTCAAAATTTGCAAACACTGATTCTGGTTTTGAAACACAGCTATCTTTGCAATATCTTCAAGGGATTCAGTAGGTGTTATCCTCTTATACACTAACATGAATAAACTCTGTGGGTGTATCAAGGAAACAGGAGACAGTAAGTGCCTGCATGACATAAGTTTTAAATGCAACTCTGCAAAATTAGGCTGTTTGAGCAACTGAAATCAGAAAGAAAATCAAGCTCTTGATAAAAATACTTTTTCTAAAGGATATTCTAGACACAAGAGCTGTCACTCAAGAGGAGTCAGAATTAAATATTAATATATCTGATTTCTGCTTTAGGTACTACAAAGCATTACCTACTGAAGTGAGTGTAACTAAGTGTGACTTCAGCAGTAACCTCTCTCTGGAAGGCTTAATTTGGTCCTCTTCATGCTTTATCACATTTGAAACATGACATTTCTCTGTTTATCCAGGGTTCAAATTTGCACATACCTCTCTTTGCAATCATTTGAGGGCAACCCAAATTTAGGTCTATGGCATCGCAATAATCCTGAGCCAACAGTGCTGCTTGAACAAACACTTCAGGGTCATTGGCACAGAACTGAGAAAGACAAAGAAAAGCGGAATAATCAGTCAATAGCTTTCTTCACGTACTGACAACTTAATTATGGAGTAACTACTTGCTACAGAAAACAGACATAATACGCACAGTTAATAACAGCAAACACCGTTTCTCAAAAAACCCTCCAAACAACCCCCAAAACAAAAACTGACACTTACCAGCAAAAGATCCTCAACCTTCAAATGACAAAATGAGAAAGATGAACATTCAAGAGGCGAATAAATATTTGTAGAATATTTTATATGTAGCACCCAGGAATGACGGAACATTTCCTAAAATCTCCTGTAGAACAAACAGCTGTAGCATTTTAATATATAGAGGTGGTGCAGAAGAAAAGAGTTACCTAGTTACCTGTAGTGTCTCTGGGTCTTGAGAAAATTCAAACTTTGTAGATACCAGTAAGCACCACTGCCTCCAAAATGAATTCACGTTAGTGTGGAGTGTGAAACAGACACATTGGGCTGTCAGGCAAATGCTCAGTCTTAAAAATAATTAATATTACATCTAAAGCACGGTGCAAAAATCAATCTATTAAGAAAGACAAGGTTAATCTGAAGCTGCTTTGTTGAAGAGCACAGAGTCATACTACTCTCCTTATTTATGCTTTTAAATAGATTTTCTAAAATTCATTACTAACAAAACCCGATGCCATCATATCTTTAAAACACGGCTTTAAAGTCAAACACATGTGAGCGGAAGGTGTTACTTAAACCCTACAGAATTACGTAAGCTATGTCTGACACCAGCTAAAGCCAGAAAAGGCACTCGTTTTCCCTGGGATGATAGAAACAACGGAAAGCCTCCAAACAAGCCACACCAGTAAGTACTGTACACAATACACAAAGCCCACAGAGCAGGCTGGGCTCAGATGTACATTTGCTTAATCCGTTTCCAAGAGCCTGTGACCAAAACCCCAGCCTGTCCAGGAACAGTGCAGAACTCAGTAAGCATTGCTGTACGGGCCAAGCCAAAGAATAATCTAGCTAGTTCTGTGCCTTATGCCCAACAGTGGCCAGTGGGAAGGAGGGTAATACAGCAAGCTCAGAGTAACTGATGCTCACCCAGCACACACAGCTTACCGAGCTGAAGATCTGCGTTCCTTACACCGACAGCTTCCCAAGACCACTTAAAAGTTCTGCCACTTGTAATTTTCTGTGGCAAGAGAAACAACTGCCTACAGAAGCAGAACATAAAAAATCGTGCTGAGATAGGCCAAAGGTCCACCTCATCCTGCTCTGATATTTCTCAGCAACAGCTGTCCAGGGAACAGCAGAAACTAGAAGGCACCTTCAGTGACTTTGGAAGCAGAAGTAGTGTTTCCTGCACCTAATGACCCTCAACAGAGTTCTCCTCCATTTGCTTTCTAAACTCATGCAATCTTTAAGCATCCAGTACATCCCACAGTAATGAATTTTGCAGTTTATAACTACTGCTATTCAAGACTTGTTTCCCATTCGTCATCTTCAAGACAGTCATACTTGCACAGAATTCTCTCATCTCTCCCCCTAGTCAGGGGAGACATTTCTCTTCCACGGTGAACAGTCCTGACCACTTAACTGCTCTACCTGTGGAGATCGGGCCATTTCTCTGCTCATGCCAATTGTCTCTCCCTGCATTATTCTCCAGCTCCACAGGCTTCCTCTTTGGGATCACGTGAAGTACCCGAACCTCACACAGTACTGAGGAAGCAGAAGCAAGACAAGCCTAAAGATGTGTCCTATCTTCCTTGCATCCTTTTCCTATAGCTGGGCACTGAGCTCATGGCTTCAGAGAACTACTCAAAAAACTGATCCTCCCCAAGGGGTATCAGATCTGGAACAACCCTTGTCTCCAGCAGACCAGCTGCAATCTATCTCTGAAGGACTGAACCGGTTAGCTCAGTGGTTTGAGCGCGGTGCTGACAACAATGACGACACCGAGGTCGCGAGTTCAATTCCCGCTCGGTCCCCATGTGTTGCCTGGTCTAGTCGAGAGGTGGTGACCCTGCCCATGACAGGGAGGTTGGCCTCGATGATCTCTAAGGTCCCTTCCAGCCCAGGCCATTCTAGGATTCTGTGATGATTCTATGAACCCTGTGAGAAGCTGGGTGCTCCAGTCCCTGTGGTTAAGACACCAAATTGTCTTGGCTAGACAAGAGGTAAAAACACCCTTGCCTTCATGAGGTAAGCCCTGCTAGAGGTATTTCGGTGAAGAAAATGAGTTTTCTGTCACCCCACCGAACCACTTCAGATCCGGGTGAGA